CTCTTCTTTGTATGTAGCTGCTGTCTGAAGAGGGGTACAGTATGTTTAAGCCACGCAAAAGGTAAAACTCCAAAGTGGGCTAGATTCTCGACTTTATGCTGGTTGTAATATTTCAAGAGGCAAACCAACAATTCTCTGCTCCAGCTCAGCTCAGCATATAATTTATAGAAGAAGAGTGTCATACAAATTATGTCCATGGTTTAATTTCTTTCATTGTTTCCTTACCACTTAGGAAAGACTATCCTTACCCGCAGAACTCAAACTAGAGTGTATGAGCTGCCCTTTGTGACTGATTCTGACTAATTGTGGAATCTTCCGTTTTTACACGAAGATAGCTAACCTTCCCTCTGCGCTATGAATAAGTGGGCCCCGGTCATTCATCAATATAAGGACTATTAGTTTAATACTAGAAATAAATAAAAAATGGCGAAATGTAGGATTTAATCGCTATTCTTTATCATTTTATTTGATTCAGATTATTTTTCGCTATTATTGTTGTAATTTTGCATTTCTTCTTACCAGCTGTTCTTTCGCTAAACTTATATTTTTTAAAAGTCTTCAAAGCTCATTGTTGACATTCAAACATCTACCTATTTATAATTTCGTGAAGGGCTATTAGAGGTAAAAGATTTGAAATAAATAGTGTGATTCCACGGGACAATTGAAGTTCAAAGGAACCTCATTTTTTAAATGGTGGAAAATTCCAATTAATAGAGTTTTGTATGTTTGTACGCTGTGCATTTACGTCGTACCGAAGACCATTTCCTTTAACCAAACCAAATGCTTACAGAGCGTTCGAGGAGAAAGGGATCCGAGGCCTCCAACGTAGAGAAACGGTCGTATTTGCGAACATTGACGCGATTCGCGACTGATCACACGTCGTGACGTCATGTCAGCAGCAGTGCTTCTCACAGCGCTGCTCGTGCTCGTCCACGAAGACTATGTGTGCTCCCTAAAATGTTATTCATGTTCATTTTCATTCAATGAACTTTACGATTTGGATCATCGGTAAGTAT